CCCATATTTTGATAGCTCTGAAGGTCCCCTAGATTTCAAAGGCCATTGTGGACATCCTAGAGGCCTAGGTAGAAAGTTTTCATGGGGTGGAGCCATCACAAAGAGTTGCTACTAGGGAAAAACCATGTGGAAATGTGAGGTTGAGTTTACTACAGAGACTCCCCATCAGGACAAAGCTTAGTGGAGCTACAGGAGTGGGGCCACCTTTAGAACCTTAGATCTGTGGAGCTACTCATATGCGATGCTAGCCTGAAAGAAATGTGAATCAAGACTCCAACTAGAGAGAGCTAAAGCATGGACTGAGGATAAAAGAGCCAGAGGAACAAGTTTCCTGTGTTTTGGGTCATAGCCATTCATTGCACACAGGATGAGGCACAGGAAGTTCTAAGGAGTGCCCATTTGGATTTCTGACTAGGTTGGGACTATTACTCCTATCTCCTTATGAGACAGAAACTACTACTGTACACCTACCTGTCTTTTTTTATTTTGGGAATGTGTAATTTGTTTTGATTTCACAGATTAATAACTGGAAGGAGTTTGCCTGGAATCTCAGATGAGATTTTGGATTTTGGACTTTTGAGTGAGTGGTGCTGAAATGAGTTTAAGACTTTTGGAACTTTTGGGATGATTTTGTATGTGGAAGTACATTAATTTGGGGGGGGGATTTAAAAGTGTAATACTATAGCTTGAATGGCACCCTCCAGAATTCATGTGTTGAGTCATTATAACTGAGTTAAGAGGACGGAAACTTGATATATTGATAATTATGGTGTCAAAATGTGGGGCTTTGGGGAGGAGATTAAGGTCATTAGTGTAGGGGCCTGGTTTATAAGGAGTGACACAGATGAAAGATAGACCACACTTGGGACCATCAGTTAGTGTAAGGACTGTGTCGCTGAACTCCCATGTAGTCGACCGTGGTTCGAGTCCCAGACCCAGTGGCTTAAACTCACGATGGGCACATGTGTTTGTGTCCAAGATCCCAAGAGGAGAAAGGAGAAGGGATTGCGGCATGGCCATCCCCCTTGGGGGGTGATTTCTCGCTATCTGTCTCTCTCTGTCTCTCTCTGTCTTTCTGGCAAGTACACGCGCCCTATAGCAAAAACCTCTCAAAAAAGAAAGAAAGAAAGAAAGAAAGAAAGAAAGAAAGAAAGAAAGAAAGAAAGAAAGAAAGAAAGAAAGAAAGAAAGAAAAGAAAAGAAAAAGAAAGATAGGCCACATTTTCCTCTGACATGACACAGATAGAAATGACCCCCAGGGCTGTTTTCTGGACCTCCACACTGTGAGCTAAATAAACCTCTCTTTTTTTTTTTTAAAGAAAAAAGTATTTTATTGACCTTTATTTTATTTATTTATTTTAATTTGATCAGAGAAGGATGGAGTGGGAGAGAATGAGAGAGAGTGAGAAAGCAAGCTGCCAGGTCTGGGACCCAAACTGTAGTCAGCCACATCTAGTCCAACACTCAACCACCATGCCATCTACCGGCCCTAAATCTCTATTTTCATACATCACTGTTTCAGGTGGAGCCTCATGACCTGTGGGTCTGGAAACTACAAAAGATTGGAGTCTCATGGCTTCCTTTTTTTTTCCCCAATAATTTTATTTAACTTTATTTATTTTTAAAATTTTGACCAGAGAGAGACAGAGTGAGAGAGAGAAGAAAGAGGGAAAGTGAGAAAGCAAGCTACCAGGTCTGGGACCTGAACTGTGCTCAGCCATGTGGGAGTCCAGCCCTTAGCCACCACGCTGCCTGCCAGCCCCAAAATCGTGTGTGTTGAGAGAGACAGAGGGAGAGAGGTAGACTCGAAGCTGCAATCCTCCAGCCTCCATAGGTTTTTGCCATAGAGTGGGCGCCACCACACCCAGCTCATGGCTTCTTTTTTATCTACAGTTTTTTCACTTACTTGGGCAATCTGTGAGTGAAGACCTAGAGGAACAGTGGGGAGCTGAGAATTTGGCAATGCGTTCACTGGTAAGTAGGGAATGCCTTTTTCTACAGACATTGCACTCCTGCTGCCGTGAGATGGGAGGTCTTCCCTATTTGCATGGCTTTTCTAAGTGCTATTAGGAGGTTTTCAGGAGTCTGAGATCCAATTAAGTTTTTCTAGGACATCATTAAAATGGGTCATAAACTCATCAATAAGCAATATCTTTTCTAGTATCACCATAAGTTTTTCTTGCCTCCATTATAGTTGTATATTTTCAGAAGAAATGTGATTTTGTTGGTCTTTCTCTCATTTAGTCCACGGCCTCACTGCAAAATAGTTGACCTATTAATCATGCTATTAATTGTAATGGGCTTAGGATTGTGGTTAAAGCAGGCGATAGAGATGAGTAGAACTCTGCAGCCCAATAGGATGGCAGATATTTCAGCAGTTGACTCCAATCAGTCAAGTGTCTAATGTCCTTGCTTGAGGTCAGTGCAGTGTTGAGGACTAGGTCAAGGAAGGCATGAAGAATCAGTCACTTTCTTACAATTTTAGACTTTTTTTTTTTTTTTTTTAGGTTTTTGCATAGGGAACGTGCGTTTTCCAGAAAGAAAGAAATTGAGAAATCACCCCTCAGGGGAATGGCCATGCAGCAATCCCTTCTCTCAAAATTTTGAGCATGCATGCACACACACACACACACACACACACACATACAGCCAGCATAATTTTCAAGCCACTAGGTCCAGGACAAGAACTGGGGTCAGCCATGTGGGAATCCAATGCCTTAACCACCACATCAGCTGTTAGCCCCTTCAATTTTTTTAAAAGATATATTTAGTTTTAATGTATTCATTATCATTATTCTTCAATTTTGACCAGAGAGAGACAGACAGACAGAAAGGGAGAGTGAGAAAACAAGCCACCAGGTTTAAGACTTGAATCCTCGTCAGCCATGTGGGAGTCCAGCACTTCGAACATTATGCCACCTGTCGGCTCTGGCCCCTTCAATTTTAAATTTCTTAAAATTTGCTAGAATATATTTGAACTTTTAAAAACTTCTAAAAAGATAACCAAAATACTCATTATTCCCTTCCCCAATTACTCTTCCTCTTATGAATTAATCATTTATTCACATGTGATGATTGTGAACAATATATACGAAGTATTTACTTAGTTGTGGTTGTGCATTTAAAGGTATATAGTAGATCAAGTATAGTGGCTAGAGTAAGATTGAAGTCCTAGAGGAATATTTGAAAAACTTGATAGTCAAAAGTCAATAAATTATTACTTATTGATGATAATGTCCTATAGTATTTTCAACTGGACTGGTCTTATATGTATTTCATGTTGGGTGAATTCTCTTTACAAGCCGAATGATGTATAGCAATTGAATGTTTGGAAAAAAAAACCAGAAAATAAGAATAATAAAAATAAAATAAAATAAAAGCCAATAAAGAGATTTATTTTATATTTGAACAGAGAGATAAGTTAGTGACACAAGAAAGACCATGATAACTGGTGTTTGAAGTTTCCAGAGACAATTCAGAATAGGAGGTGTCAAAGTTCAGGAGTAGTCAGACTGGTACTCTACATGTATAGAAATCTGAGAGGTCCCTTGTTTTTGCTGGTGAACTTATCTGCCCATAAACCTTACTATGAACACTAAGTTATATACTGTGTGAAACTTGTTCAGTTCTGAGGAATGCTGGAGACTACCTCAAGATTTTTCGCCCATTTTATGAATAATAAAGTAATATATTTTTTGTAAGATAAGAAGAACCTTATACATTCACTGGATCTTTCATTTTTTTTTTTTTTGGAGAGGTTTTTGCTATAGGGCATGTGCGCTTGCCAGAAAGACAGAGAGAGACAGAGAGATAGAAAGCGAGAAATCACCCCCCAGGGGGGATGGCCACACCACAATCCCTTCTCCACTCTCCTCTTGGGATCTTGGGCATGCATGCATATACACCTGGTCTGAGTTTAAGCCACCAGATCCAGGACTCGAACCGCAGTCAGCTACATGGGAGTTCAGCGACCCAGCCATTATGTTAACTGCTGGCCCCTGGATCTTTCAATACTCATAACAGATTGTTAGACCATTTCAATGAAGAGGAATCTGAAGTTCATCTAAAAGATTAATTTAATAGTAATCATGGTTTAAAATTGCCAAATCATTACTTTTTTTTTTTTTTTTGGTGAGTCTATAAAGTATATTAAAGTCCTAAGTAAGGGAGCTTTAGTTATAAATTTTTTTTAAAAAATCATTTTATTTTATTTATTTTTATTATTATTTTTTTATTTGACCAGAGACACATAGAGAGGGAAAGTGAGAAAGCAAGCCACCAGGTCCAGGACTCGAACCATGGTCAAAATAACCCACCCACGCCGAGGCTAGACCCCGGCAATCTAGGAGCCCAGTGCCTTAACCACCATGCCACCAACCACCTTGTTTGTTTGTTTTTAAAGCCAGAGAGCACCTGTGCTCCTGATAAAGAGAAATAGAACTTGAGGGCACATAATAAGCCTGTCCTTGTGCCTCCTACTCCTCACCCAAATGGGCCTGGTAATGCCACAGAAACCCTTCCTTTTCTGGCTCTGAATTTTGTCAGGGCCCTGGGAAATCATGCACCCTCTGTATATTTTTCAAGATGACACAGCCAGTACACAAACTCTGGTCTGCTATGTGGGACCTGACTTCCTTTGCACAGCATCTAATTTTTTTGCTGAACCCCAAGGGTAGTCCTAGTTAAAAATTTTTAAATGCAGATTCTATAATGACCTCTCTGGAATTCATTATTACCAGTTTACTGGAAGATTTCCAAGTTGTATTACACCATACCACATGAACTATTCCTTGGGAATAATAATATATGTATTTAGGGTATATGTGTTTCTTTGAGGATTTCTGACAGGCACATGCCAGCTCAGCACTGAAAATGAATAAATCAGAACTCCAGGCATATTTTGATCTTTCTGCACACCCACTTCCCCAGACAACTCCAGTATTGTCCCAACCCTTCTACTCTGGACATTGGCAGTATTGTTCTGTCTAAACTGGAATGTCCATGATGTCCTAGGAATCAGTGACCTTTGAAGATGTAATAGTGCATTTCACCCGGGAAGAATGGGCCCTACTGGATACATCTGGGAGAATTCTGTACAAAGATGTGATGATGGAAAATATCAGTCATCTGGTATCTCTTGGTGAGTGTGTCAAAAGCTATGTATACATATGCGTATGTGTATGTATTTATTAATCAACAAGCATCTAGAAGGGTTTCCCTATATCCCACTCTAATCTCTAACCTGATTTTTTTCTTAAACCTGATTTTAAAAATAAGTTTTTTGTTTTAACTACTTTCATCTAATTTGTCACCTCACTAGAAGATGGTCTTGGCCACAGTTTTATGTCTTTTGGTATTAAATCACCAAAACTTGTCGCAGAACTAGGAATTCAATAAATATTATTAAAATCATAAATAAAATAAATATTTTGTAAATACATCCATCCTTGAAGATTGGCTTCAGGACCCCCTTGAATTCCAAAAATCCTATGATGCTGGAATCCTTTATTTAAAAAAGTGTGAGACCAGCAGATGGTATGTGGTTATGTTGCTGGACTTCCCCCTTGCTGACTGCAGTTCAAATTCCAGATCTTGTGACTTGAAACTCACACCGGGCACATGTACATGCGTGCCCAAAATCCTAAGAGGAGAATGGAGGAGAAGGGATTGTGGCATGGCCATACCCCCTGAGAGGTAATTTCTCGCTTTCTGTCTCTCTGGTGAGCACATGTGCTGTATATAAAAATAATCTCTTTTTTTTTCCCCAAAGAAATTAACTTTTATTTGAAAGACTACTTTTATGCCCACATGTCACCTTCTAAGGAGTCTATATTATACAGTAGCCTGCTTAACCATTGCCCCAATACCAAAATTTCTAATATCAAGTTATACAATTAATTGCTCTAGGTAATAAATAAAGGTTGTTCTTCACTGATTAAGGGAACACATAAAACTTCAATAAGTTTAACAGAAAAATCACACTTTAAGGTTTAACAGATATATTTCAAATATAATATATTTTGCAGGAGCCCACAATCTTTTCATCTCTAAAAACTTACTTCATTCTTCAAGTTTGAAAATTCTGTTCTTTAAAATGTCCATTGTTTTCATCTAGTGTCAAACTTTCAGTACTTAACTATTTGACCTCTCCATGCCACGCCAACCCTGATGTGACTACTTCATGTTTTACCATCTTTCCCAAAACAAATTAAACAAGATTTCTAACACAATGTCTAATACATTATCTACACAAAAACCTCAAAAAGATAACTTCTTTCCCATTGATTAACTAAGAGTTAATCTGTAAAAGAAAAAAAAGTCATCTATAACATGTAACACTGAGGCTCCTTTTTTTTTTTTCTACTCAAGATGTAACTACTCAAAATGACAATTACATTTTTAAGAGTATAATAAAAGGGGTGGGAAATATAACTGACAGAGTATATAATCTAAATAACCAGTTATTTTTAAGGTTTCTTTTTAAGGAGTAGGAGAAATTAGAAGCTTGGGAAAATCAAGAATTAAACAAACAATAAAAGAAAAAAAAGTCTTTAACTGCAACCATTCCATTATCAATAGTGTCTTGGGCTGTAGGAACGAGATCTTGATTGAGATCTGTAACGACTATAATAAGGAGAAGGCAATCTTCTTCTGTACCGGTAATCATAGTCTTCATATCTATCATGTCCTCGATCATAGTAAGAATCTTGACGTCTGCCACCACCTCCACTACCACAGCCACCACCACCACCACCACCACTGCCTCCGCCACTATGAGTTGGTCTGCCCATGTAAATGCCTGGCGTACGTGTATGTGATAGTGATAGAATAATCCACAAGAATTCTTCTACCATCCATTTTCATTCCGTTTGCCCTTTTCATAGCCTCCTTGGAGTCATCATTCTCTTGAAATACACAAAAGCAAATCCTCGTGATCGTCTAGTAATCATAAACCACATTAACACCACTCAATGGTCCATAGCAAGAAAATAATTAACGAAGATCTCTCTCTGTTGTGTACAAATTGAGGCCAAATACTCCAAGACAGGTATTGGGATCCGGATTTGCCCTGCTGCCTGTATGTCTTCTGCAGTTAGATATTGGAGAATGACTTGGGTTCCTTCACTGCCAGTATTCTGGTGTATATGACCTACTTTGAGATCATCTCCTGTGTGAGTGAGATCTAGACCGAGTGTAGCATCTATGAGAATGCCTCCTTGACCTTGACCTGGATTTTGACCTTGATCGAGAATGGGATTCAGAGTGTTTGGAAACCCTTAATGGACTACGAGATCCTGACCTGCTCTCCGATTTTACATGAGCAGGAGTTCCTGTTGGAGATTTTTGACTGAGAGCGAGACTCTCTGCCCTCGAAGTTGTTCTCCTCTACATCACTCGTGATGGCCAGATGCTCCCAGGACTAAACAAGAGACAAGTTTCGGCTCTAGGGCCGATGGCCTAAACCTGCTGACTGGACTGCGGGGAGAAGGAGTCGGCAACAACAGCCCCTCCATACCACTCCCACTAGGTCACAGGCTCTGGCAAAATGGCGAAAAATCTCTTTTTTAAAAAAAGTAAATTAAAAAAATAAAGTGGTTTAATATTTAAATATAACCTACATGTATTAAATAGTATGTTTTAAATCATCTTTATATTTTATATTACTTGTAATATCTATTATGATAATGCTACGTATTTAGTAGGTACATTTTTCAATTTTTTTTTTTTAAAGAGAGGTTTTTCAGGGGCTGGCAGGTGGTGTGGTGGTTAAGGGCTCTGGACTCACACATGGCTGACCACGGTTCGAGTCCCAGACCTGGTAGTTTGCTTTCTCTCTCTCTCTCTCTCTCTCTCTCTCTCTGTCCCTCTCTGATCAAATTAAAATAACATTTAAAATTTAATAAAAAATAAAGAAAGCTAAATAATAGTTCCTTAATAAAAAAAAAGAGAGAGGTTTTTGTTATAGGGTACGTGTGTTTGCCAGAGACACACAGAGAGACAGGAAATGAGAAATCGCCCCCTAGGGGAATGGCCATGCCACAATCCCTCTCCTCCGTTCTCTCCTTGGGATCTTGGACACACACATACACACACACACACACAGTGTGAGTTTAAGCTACCGTGTCTGAGACTCGAACTGCAGTCGACTATGTGAAAGTCCAGCAACGTAACTATTACACCATCTGCTGGTCCCTCAATTTGTATTTTTTATTGTCTCATTTTAAAACAAAAAATTTTTTTTCAATCTCTGGTTGGTCGAATCTGCTCATGTGGAACCCAGCACTATGAAGGATCAAATGTAATTATTCTATTCTAGTCCTATGCTAAGACTTGAGACCAGAGTAGTGAAAATAACAGAACTTTGGGCCTGACAGGTGGCGTGGTGATTAGGGGCGCTGGACTCCCACATGGCCGACTGTGGTTTGGGTCCCAGATCTGGGGCTTGATTTCTCACTTTCCCCCTTTCTCTCCCTGTCCCTCTTTGGTCAAATTTAAATAAGTAAATAAAATAGTTTGAATTAAAAAAAGAAAATAACAGAACTTTGGGCCTGACAGGTGGCGTGGTGATTAGGGGCGCTGGACTCCCACATGGCCGACTGTGGTTTGGGTCCCAGATCTGGGGCTTGATTTCTCACTTTCCCCCTTTCTCTCCCTGTCCCTCTTTGGTCAAATTTAAATAAGTAAATAAAATAGTTTGAATTAAAAAAAGAAAATAACAGAACTTTGGGCCTGACAGGTGGCGTGGTGATTAGGGGCGCTGGACTCCCACATGGCCGACTGTGGTTTGGGTCCCAGATCTGGGGCTTGATTTCTCACTTTCCCCCTTTCTCTCCCTGTCCCTCTTTGGTCAAATTTAAATAAGTAAATAAAATAGTTTGAATTAAAAAAAGAAAATAACAGAACTTTGGGCCTGACAGGTGGCGTGGTGATTAGGGGCGCTGGACTCCCACATGGCCGACTGTGGTTTGGGTCCCAGATCTGGGGCTTGATTTCTCACTTTCCCCCTTTCTCTCCCTGTCCCTCTTTGGTCAAATTTAAATAAGTAAATAAAATAGTTTGAATTAAAAAAAGAAAATAACAGAACTCTGATTATTGCCATGGAAATTATTTTTATTTTATTCTATTTAAAAATAATATTTTGGCAGCACTGCTGTGGTAGGAAGGGCTGGGGGGGCATCAAGGTGGGCTGGGACCTCACACCTGGGGGATGCCTCCGCCTCAGTGGGTTCTAAATGGCACCTTGTTCTTGTGCCCTGTTCCTAGCTGGAGCAGGCTCCACCTGAAGTCACTCACTCTGAGTGTCCACCTGTAGCTGGTCAGGATATAGGACATTGGATATTTCTTTTAATCTAGATCAATTAAAGGGAATTGTCTAAAACACAGAGTATAAAGAAACAATGTGGCCCTTAACCTCTGGAGTGTACACTGTGGAGCAGATACCAGCAACAGTGTGAGAGAAGAACTGAGGCAGGCAGTCTGCCTCAGATCTCTGCTCCCTTCTGCTTGCTTCAGGTACACCCCAGACTGGCCCCTTGTATGTTCCTCTTGGTGCCATAAACTTCCCAAGTCTTTCCTCTGCATCAGGGACCAGCATCAGCCAACGAGAAGAACTGAGGCAAGGGGGTTGCCTCAGACCTCTTGCTTTCTGCTTACTTCAGGTACACTCTAGACTGGCCCCTCCCATGCCCCTCTCAGTGCCATTAACCTTTGTCTACATCAGGGAGCAGCAGTAGTGAGGGAGAAGAAGACCTCTGCTGCCTTTTGCCTGCCTCAGGTACACCTCTGCTGCCTTTTGCCTGCCTCAGGTACACCCCAGACTGCCCCTTGCATGCCTCTTTCAGTGCCATTAACTTCTTGAGTCTGCACTGTGGAGCAGGGACAAACAGAGCAGTGAGGGAGAAGAACTGAGGTGGGGGGAACCACCTCAGACAAGGGAGTAGAAGATCTATTCCATTAAATACTTGCAGAAAATTTTTCCAAATCTAGAGAAACATTTAGACATCCAGACCCAAGAAATACAAAGGGCCCCAAATAGAATTAACATAAGAAGATCCTTTCCATGGCACATGATAGCCAGATTGGTCAAAATCAAACACAAAGACAAGATTCTAAAAATAGCAAGAGAGAAATGTCAAGTTA